TGGAAAAAAAAAGCAAAAAAACAATACAATGCAAAAATGTCACTGGTTCAATAGCAGCACATATATCACATATGACAAGAACATATTGATTCTTACCTCTAGCACTATCCTGCTTATTATCTATGTGGGGCTGCAGACCAAACTGATGTGAACTAGCTGAATAATATTGAGAAATTATCTGTAATACAATCTAAAGGTCTTTTCAGAAGCATATATATAACATATTATGCTCAGCTTTATACGAAATGTTGTGGCTGAGATAAATGAAACTCCGACACTTCACCATCCAAGACAAGTATGTCTAGTGTCATTTATCAATCCTTGAATTTAGTGTATGGATTGGCTAGTGCTTGTCTGTTATCTATCAACATTTCCATAAATAGTCAATAAACAAGCATCTCCTCTCTTGAACAATACAGAGCAGCATGACAAAATTGTAATTTTCTGTAGATTAATCCTGAATTCTGATTTGATTGGAAAGACAATCAAAATCAGAACTACTATATCAGCATTTCTCTGTAGAGACAGGACATACATCCAGCTTGGTTAAGGATTTTACCAGATGACCCTATACTGTGTTTAGGATAGCAGACTGTTCACTTCCACCAGTTACTATCTTGTGCAACTCTGGGTAGTGTGCAATGCCAGCTTCAAATGTAGAGCATTCAAGGACCCAGTACACTCCAAACATATGCTTAAGGAGCTCCTGTCTACTTTTATTTAAGAACAAAAGTTAATTTACAGAAGTATTTTCCCACACAGGGGAGTTCTCAGCATCATACAACACAGCACAATCCTTCAGCCTCCTGGCTATGCAGTCTGCTAAAACCCACAGCCATTTTCAGCCCAGACTGGAACTTAATCTCTCAGATGACAGCCTGGACAGTGCAACTGTCTTTAAGACCATATATATATATATATAAACCAAAAGAAGCACTGAACAGACATTATTAGAGTTCAAAAAGTATTTCTTTTGTTTCTCTTACAACAACAGGACAATAGTGGCAGCCAACACATTTCAGGGGCCATCCCCCTCTTCATGGCTTAATCAGTTATCAAAATACCAAATTGAACGCAGAATATAGATCCTGGGTTGTTTAATCTACACCTGAACATTTGGTTCAAAGACACAAGCACCCATACTTTGACTAGGTTTAGTTTAAATTGCCCAGAAGCTACATTCTGAGTCCAATTTGACTTTCTTATAAGTGTCTAAGCCCTTATTTAGGGGATTTCTTTGGCACCTAAAACACGTTGGATGCCACTATTTTCCTGTTGTCAGAGGAACTGAATAAATACTTTTTAGACTCTAAAAATGTCTCTTTCAGACTACTTTATATACCCATAGACTTCTCTGCTCAGTGTCCTCAGTCTCCAGTCTCCTGGGAGATCCCTGTTTTGCAGAGAGCTGCCAAGCACAAGTCATGTGGCTTAATTCTAGTTATCATCATTTTGGGGATCCATATCCAGCGCCTTACTCTCACTTTCCCCTAAAGATGTCTTTAATGCCAAACAGGCCAGACACGTTCCTAGTGTCTAAACATACTCACCCTGCTCCCTTGCAGCGTTGGCTGTCTCCTGGAGAGGAAAGAGCATTGACTAGCCAGACTGTCTGATTTTAAAGGGCAGCACCCATCTGACAATCAGTCTTACACCTAGTCAGGGATGCCGCACATGCTGAACCATGTTTAATCCACAGTGACAGAGCATTAATTTATCACAGAAGGTATACTTGACACCTGCAATAAATGTTATAACTGGAAGTTCACATACTTCAGCAAGAAGTTACAGTGGAACTCCAGGCAGTTTTTGGATAGGGATAGGGGTTTTACTGCATTCCTCACCTCCTTACCCAATATTGGGGTCTATTCACTCCAGGCTTGCATGGCTGATTTCAGCTGTACATCGGCTTGCTTCGCGTGGCTTCGGGTCGGCCGAACATGCTCTGCATGTTCAGCCGACCCGAAATGCAGAAGGAGTTCGACTTAGACGATTCAACAATTGGATCGGTTAAACCGAACCTCCGGCAGGCCATCTGTCATTACACACTGAGAACACAGAGAGGCCACTGTGATATCATAGCGGCCCGGCCGGGTTCTGAGTGTGTAATGACAGCGTCCCTGGTTACCAGGTATCTGGTGACGGCTGGCTCCGCCCAGCTGCCAGAAGCAGGCTCTGCCCAGCTCCGCCCAGCTGTCAGAATCAGGCTGTCGGCCAGCCAATGGCCGGCCGCTCGGCCAGCTTCGTCTTTCACCTCGGCTCAGTGGAGCCAAAGCATATGCCTTCGGCTCGACTGAGCCGCTCGGCCAACTTTGGGAGCTGTACGGGCTATAGTGAATAGCACGTACAGCAGCCCTTCAGTTCGACTGAACCGAAGGGGTCCTGGGGCCGAAACTACCAGAAGGATCGGCCGAAGCTCTGGCTAGATCCTTCAGCAGCTTAGTGAATAGACCCCATTGTCTAAATTCACGATTCATCCACACAGAAGGAAAATAGAAATTACTGAGGAAAAACATGAGAATGGGGAGTATGAGAAAAGGAGTTTCCTCCCAGTTTCCCATTTACATAAAATATATATATATATATATATAAACACACACACACAATGTGCTCTTTTTGCAATCCAATTATGTTTGTATAAAACACTCCTTGGCAAGTATACATCTCAGCAATGCCAACAGAAGCAAATATTGGGCAAGTTCAGGTCTATTGAAAGTCCTAGCACTAATGAGCAGTCCATATGTAGAAGCTCTTAATTACTGTGCACACATACTGTACTGCCAGTACAGAGCACTTAATTAACAGATTTTTATTCCATTACATTCTTACATTGCATGTAAATGGTTAAGTTTTGACCTTGATTATTAACTTAGGTACTACCAAGTTGCTGGGTGAAATAAGATGTATTACTAAACTACCGTAACAGAAAACCAGAATGAATTAGTCTTGATCTGACAAGGGACCACAAAGAGGACAGACCCATATTATATCAGTGAAAAACTTGCAGGCTGTGAAAAGAAATGCTTACAAGAAGTCACATATCAAACACATCTGCCTCCTCTGAGCCTGTAATGCAGTGTGGGCTCTTGCAAATGACAGTATGCCTTCGAAAGCAGTAGGCTGTGACCTTGAAAAGGTTCACTGGTTCATATTCTGCAGTTCTCTTCTGGTGAATTACTACCAGTATTTATTTGAATGAAAAATGTCATCTCCTGAGCAGAACTTGCCTCCAAGAAAAGATACTAAGAGAATGAAAAAAAGTAAAAAAAAAAAAAAATATGCACTAATGGCAAAACTGCTTAATCTATTTCCTATAGGTGTTACATCTAATTTTCAGAATCTTTAGTTAAAATGTTAAGACAATACCATTGCATAAGATGAAGTTTGAGATCAGACTTACATTGACAGTTTTTGTGTTATTGATTGATAACATGATAGAAAAGAGCAGAGATAAATAATAATATTAATTTAGCATTTGCCTGTCTCCTCTGGGGTAAGGTACATGAAACGCCTATCTGCTTTGCTAATCACTGTGTATCATAATATAATGTATTATATTTTCATAAAATACTGTTTTTCTATCATATACACTGCTGATCGACCTGTAGCCTCTTTGCATCTCCTTTCAACATGTATGCACTTCCGCCATTTGCTGTACACCATATCTCAAGTGGGGTTTCCTTATGATGATAAGAATTGACTATTCCTGTGCAATGAGTTTTAGCAAGGCCGTTTGTATTCTTTACCAGAAGAATGTGTGACTGGGTGACAAAGCAGGGGATGAAGTGTTGTCACCCTATAATAGAATGTGCCTGCACAAGGTAATTTTTTTAATGAAAGCTGCAGATTTAGAAATTAGATTGTGTAAGGACACTTGACTGTAGACCGGAGAGGTGCAAGTAAAATGCAGTTTTATTAAGGGCAAACACCAAACATCTCGTTCCTTCCACAGATTAGACCTCCCCTGTTGCACAAGACAGTTTCTAGCAGCAACATAAAGGACAGTCTTTTAGTTTCGCTCTGTAGCTCTCCACAGCTCCAAGAAACTCACACTGCTCACCGCTCATGAGCCCTCACTCTGCTCTCTCAGCAGGGTGTCCCACAGGTCCTAGGGTTACCGACCTTACCGACCTCTCCCAGCCTTCCCTGGCTGTTCCACTTGTCCAGCACTCACCTGAGTCTGCTGTGCTCTGTGCCTCCTGCACCCACACAACTCCAACTCAACTCTCTCCCCACTCTGAGCACTGGGCTGGGTTATAAGGCTGCTCTCAGCAACTTGATCAGCCCAAGCTGGCCATTGGTAACACCTGGCCCCAAGACTGATCCCACCCAGAACTCTAAGAGATCTCCAGAGCTCCAGATCCCAGCTACGTTGAGGAAAACCTGGAAGGACCTGAAAAGCCAGGCTCTTCCTTATAACATTGTTTACATTCTGGACCCTCTCAGCCCCTTTGCCACGCACTGCCACAATTGAAAATTACTTTTAGCTAAACATGTTTAAAGCTTGTATAGGATTTTAGTGACTGGGTTTACATATTCTGTAAAGTTCAAGCAGCAACATCTCACATTTTAGGCCAGGGGGTTTAGGCAGAACACAGGCACAGGCAGAACACAGGCACAGGCAGAACACAGAACACAAGAATGAGAAATAACTGTGGTGTCAGAATCAAAAGTGACACAGAGAAAAGGCTGACTGCACAGAAAGAAAAAAAATTTTTTTTACAGGCTTGCGGTGGCTATATGAACTGCTTCAAAGGACCTTGGTTATTTATCCCCATAGTTGAGTGTGCTTTGTCTTACACTCCTAAACCTTTCATACTCTATTAAATATGCACACATCTGGGTTCAGAGCCAAAATATCACTTCAGAAGCGAGGTTTGATCTTTTGGATTTTTTTTGCTATGACCTAATTACATTTTTAGCATGCAATGATATCAACATTCAGCAAGGAGAAGACCCAGTGTAACAGAAAGAGTGCTCATTTTATGTTTTTATATTAGGACTCCAGCGATGATTGGCTGCTCCTTTGTGGTGGACAAAGCTTACTTTGGAGAAATTGGACTGTTGGATCCTGGCATGGAGGTGTACGGAGGAGAAAATATTGAACTTGGCATGAGAGTAAGTGTTCAGACACGCTCAGCAATAATACAGTGTAATGTGTGAGATCACATCTATTAAATGCATGCATTGTTCTCAGTAATATATGGTCAGAATGACTGAACACAATGGAAGAACTCCAACTAAGATATATAACTCACTAGCGGCAGTTTGACACTACATACAATTTATAGCAGGGTAGAGTCTGTCGATTTACTAAATGGTAGATTGGTCTGCCTTGTAGGCTGAAAGACTGATGGACTGTGGGTCCCTTACTAAGTTCTACAATGTATGGAATATGAATACTTCAGATGCCACATAAGTATTGTCACTAATGCACAAGGTTGTAGCTCTCCCTCTAATGGGTGTTGTATCTGAATAGAGCCGAGATCAAAAGACATTTGATAGCTTAACCAGTTGACATCCGCGGTGTTAAACCCCCTTCCCATCACAAATAGCATGCTGTTTATATGCATTAAAATCCATTTTTATTGGTCATAAAGGGACACTGTGACCTTGCCTATGCAGGGCAAAGTGGCAATGTCTCTGAAAGGGGCATACTTCCTGCCCCCCATATACACATCTTCTAAGTGATCCTTTGCTGCTCTTTCCTCTGCAGCTGTTCCAATACCGTCACAGTACCCGGCACTTCAAGGTATTGAGGAGCATGTGGCCTTCCCCTGTGGCAGTACTTGGTTTTTAGTAGCCAATCTTTAGGTCTGATTGACCTCACCGCTTCCTGATTGACATGCAGGCATCAGAGGAGAAAGGAGCAGTGAGGGATTGCTGGAAAGGTGAGCATATAGGGGTTGGGGAGGACTCTATCCAGAGACATTTTCACTTTGCCTTGTTTGGGAAAGGTGACAGTGTCTCTATAAAACCCAACTATAGTAATATAATTTTTCTATCAGTTTTGAACTGTAGATATGCTTTCTGCTGAGCTCCAGACAAGATACTTACCACTAGGTACTGGTAAAGATCGGATTTAGAAGAGCAGTGTATTTTTGTATTTGGTATTTGCTTTCTGTCTGCGGGGAAGACCGGACTTAAAATAACTATTTATACATATTTTTTCGCTCTTTTCGTTTGCGTATTTGTCATTTTTTTATTTATTTATTATTGGATTATTATATTCTGCATTTTTTGAGGAAACATTCGTATTCAATTTTAATATCTTGCACCGGAATATTTTTTATTCTTTTTGTCTAATTCACTCACTAACGAGATAATTTATAGGGTTTGATTTTTAAATTCTGTCACTGTGTGGCATTCTCACCTTTAATTATTCACTAATAAGATATTTAATGGTTTGAAGCTTTTCGATTGATTTCATTGTTGAAAAATATTTTTCGTATTACACTGTATCCACTTAGGAGCCTTTGCTCAGATTATGTATTAACACAAACCAGTTTTTATACATTTTGTATCGTTTAAAATATTAGGTAATTTATGGATTTTCTCACCGGGTCATAACCCTTTTATTTATATTTTTTTAATTTTTCTTATTAAGGTATTTATATATATATAATTTTTTACCACTTTTATGGAAGTATTTATATTTTACCTATAGCGCTGTGTTAGCACTTTCACTGGTACCTTCAAAAAACTGCACTTGCCAATACTATCCATATTCCAGGGGCTGTAACTTTATTTCCTCTTGCACTGTAGACTGTACTTTCCATGATACATAAGAGTATATATTAATCCACTTTCATTTGAATGACTCAGAACAGGGGTCTTGGTTTAAATTAAATACTACTTGGATTTCATGTTTGTAACCTTAAAGTGTTAAAGTGTTTTGGATTTTTTTTCTTCACTTCATTTATTTCTCTGTGTTGAGATGAAGCCAAATGTATAAAGGTTGGATTATTTTTTCAGTTGGTGTGATTACCACACTATTAACACCATTAAGAGCAAAAGGGATCATTTGATTTGGAAACTTGTATACAGCTACATCCAGATATGATTCTGCTTCGGCTCCTGCATTTCTATGGCATTCACTATTCCCATGGAGATTTCAGGTAATTGTGATATAATTACATTAATGTGCTAACAAAAGCTATGACATGCTGGGAAGAAGATGACAGCTAAGTGACAGAACTGAGAGGAAAGGACTGGGTAATGCAACTAGCACACCGCACTAAACCAATCTTGTAAAATGAATGAATCAGATTTTATGGTAACATTTTATTAGAAACTGCATGCTAGTCAAATTTCATTTACTGTATTGCAGTAGTAACAAATGTCATTCTATCTTAATGGTATACTCCAGTCACAATTTAAGATGAAGGCAGTGGAACCGACACATGCCTTGCACTGTGCCATTTATATTTGTGCGCACAAACGTGTGTATAGTGCCCCTAAAAAACAGAGGTCACTCAGCAATCTCTGTTCATTAGGCGCATATTGCACACACCTGAAACGCTGTCCCTGGGAGCAATACAGCAAGCTATAGCAGCTCACTGTATCACTTCTTCACCTCTCTCCCTTGTGATCAGGAAGTGACCACCGAGGTGAGAGAAAAGTGCAGGCAGCAGAGCACTACGGAGCTGCCCACTGCCTGCTCTCTCTGGTGAGGGAGCAGACTGGGAACCTGTTCGCTGCTGCCTCTCCATTGCTTGGATTGGCAGAAGGAGGAGGGGAGACGGCTTCTTCCAACTCACTCTCCCTCTGTTAAGCATCTGCCTGTTCCATGAAAATCTCTTCAGGGCTGGTGACACCATTTACTGTAAATCTAAGTCTTAAAACATATTTTAAAGTGTATGCAAACATTAACAATAAACTCCTGTTATTTGGTCTCTTTCAGCCTGTGAAATATACCATTTAAAGGGTTTTGTTATATCTGTTAATTCAAGGATGTTAATCCTGTTAGCATTGTTCCCACTTCTCTCTGTGGACTACAAAACACCTACCCAGGAAAGAGGATGGTGCTCTTTAGTTATCTTTAGTGCTATTTAGTTCTAACACACTTAGGGTGACACTGCACCTCCAGAGATACATTACAGTGAGTGAATGTTGCACCCTAGGACAGGAAATGTGTTACTGGCATTATCATTAAAGGAGAACTATGGGGTCCAAGCTTATCTCCAATTTTGTATTCCTTAGGCTAAAGGAGTAAATATTGTAATTTACTCCTATTAGCCAAAATGCACCCTAAGCATGATATAGTTTGTTTAAGAAGGTGGGCAGGGCTAAGCGCCGCAGTGAGTAGAGATCCCGACAATACTGTCTGGATCCTCCCCACTGATCTCATCAGTTTGACTGACAGCACTTCTGAAGAGCTGCTACGCGTCCACGAATATATGGGCATGCGCAGCAGCTCTGTCCCCGCAGGTCTCTCTCTACCTCCTCGTCCCCGTCCTCTGTGCCTGTCATTCAGGCACGCGCAGCTGCGGAGCCCTTTCTCTCCTATCTGCCTCCCCGTCTCCTCCATGTGCTGTGCAGTGTCAACAACAGCTTCTCTCTGCTCATCAGCACTCCGGCCACCCACATAGCGGTGCACGCTTTGAGACAGCGCAGCCACAGCAGATTTACGTTTAGAAAAAAAAGCTGAGGGAGGGCTGCATTAACTGTTAACGCCCCCTAACAGGAAAGGAGCTGGAAGCATGGTTGCAGATGGCCGTTTTCTATGATTTAAAATGAGTTTTTCTCAGATGTGCTTGGTCTTTGGAAATAATGAATACTGCTAATAGACTAAAGGTAAAGCGTGTGTTTATTTGCCCTTAGGTCATAGTTCTCCTTTAAGTAAAAATAAAGGAAAACTAAAGAAGTCACTGCATCTAAGTAATGGTAAACCAAAATATATTATATTTTTGTCCTTGGGTTTAGATACACTGTAAGCACAATGTCCTTTAGCAATAGGAAAGTCATTTGCTTATATCTTGCAAGCTCATACATAACCATTGTACTATATCATTCCAGGTGAAACATAATACTTGCATAATGTATTCAGTTATTTTTCATCACCTAAGCAGTTTTATTTCTTTGCAGCCAAATGTTTCTATACTCACGAGATACCAAGGTCTTGGGTTAAAAAGGCATACAATAAAAATGTAAAATATTCCGTGGACTGAAAAAAATATATTACATTTAATATCTAATGAAAACATTAAACTACACAAAATGAAATCAGATAGAGTAACCTGATTAATATAGTAAAACTAAGAACATTTCTGTCAGTGCAAGCAACAGAATTAGAAAAATTTATTTACCAGGGGCCTCTCGGAAGCGTGGGACCCCCAGGAAGCGCCCTTTACCATTAACCTCCCTGGCGGTATGATTATGTCAGGAATTTTGTGCCAAAAGCGGTACAATTTTTTGCATGGAAATTTGGTGTTATGTATTGTAGGCCTGCAATTCTTAGTAATTACTTACTTAAACCTGACCAAGCAAGACTTTAGTAGACATCCCAGAAGTGATAAAGTTTGAAACACAAAATCATGAATTATAATCTAATAAATAATATAATTTTATTCAATAATGTAATCAAAAATAATGAAATTTGTCAAACAAAGAAAATTCAATAAACATCCTGAGTGTGATAAATTTTGAAACATGGGACTGCACAAAGTCCGACGTCACAATCAGGACAATGGAACCTGGTTTCTTTTCGGACTTTCTTTCCATTGTCATCTCTCTTTGAGCAGCAAACTACGCACATCCTGGTAGGTGCTGCCTTTTTTGCGGTTGGCGGAATGTAGTCCATAAAGTGACGACCAGTCAGGCGTTCTGGATTGACAACGTCAACAGCACGACGTCCAGGTCTGTTCACAGCTACTGATGGCGTCTGGTAGTTGAGAAAAATCCGCTCAGCCACCTTCCAGATAAAGTCAGAATGAACAAGAGGCTTGTCAATCTTTGCTCTGTGCAGGATATATGCATTCCAAAGGCATTGTTCCAGAAGATGCCTGAAGATCTTCTTATAATATTTTTGTTGTTGTTTGCGCATAGCCGGATAAAATGTCATTGCCTGATCGGCTCTGTCAAGACCTCCCATGGTGTTATTATAGTCTATCACGACT